GGCTAAAAAAAGTGAACAATTAAAATAAAGAATCCCTTTAAACTATAACAAAGTCAATTAAAGCTGATGGTGGTACAGATATTACTAGCGGCTTAGAAATTGCATTTTAAATCTTACAAAGTAGAAAACAAAAGAATTCAGTGAGTTCAATTTTCTTACTTTCAGATGGTCAAGATGATGGTGCTGATATCAAAATAAAAAATCTCTTGAAAACAACCTACTAATAGCTACAGGAAGAGAGTTTCACTATTCACTCATTTGGTTTCGGTAATGATCATGATGGTCCTCTTATGTAAAAAATAGCTTAAATTAAAGATGGTAGCTTCTATTTTGTAGAAAAAAATGATTAAGTTGATGAATTTTTCATCGATGCGCTTGGTGGTTTGTTCTCAGTTGTAGCCTAAGACCTCACTATTAAAATTGAAATTAACAGATAAAATGAATTATTTCAAAAATTCTTCAAAAACTCTTATATCTCAAAGACTTATGGTCATATGTGGAAGATTATTAATCAAAACTAAGAATTAAGGATTAATATTAACTAAATTTTCTCAGGAGTTTCTAAAGATTTCATTTTTGAATTGACTGTTCCAAAATCTGAGATTAAAGATTTATAAGATTTTGAAAGAAATTTAGAGACAATAAATGTTTAATTGACTGCACGCCCTGTTGATTCAATGTTACAAACATTAAAAGAGAGTAAATTAGTTTTGACTCTGTTTACAGATAATGAATAAGTAGCATAAGATTCAGAAATTAACGATAACGTTGAATTTAACTACATCAGAGTAAAGGCAGCTTAAGCTATAGAAGAAGCCATCAAATATGCTGATCAAAACCAATACAATCAAGGACAACATGTATTATCAGATATGTTAAAATAGATAGAGAAATCTCACCCTAAAAACTAGGCTAAGCTCTAAGTTCTTAAAGACGATTTAGTTTAATGTTAATAAAACGTGCAACCTTAAGTGTACTAAATTCAAGGTAAGCTCTAAGCATAGTAACAATGTGTTAGTCATTATAACTAATAATCATAGGCAG